ATCAGTCATCAATAAAACCTATTGCGCAGCAAAGGTCATCATCAAAGAAAGAACAAGGTGCATGCTTCATTCAAAACCTAAAGTACATGGAAACGATTGCGTCACATCCCACTGTGTTTACCAATTTAAATGTGTGTGTGGTCACACATACATAGGGAGGAGTAATCGTGATCTCAACATTAGGGTGAGTGAACATGTACCCAAATGGCTTCAGAAACAAATACAATCAAGTGACCCGATAAGAGCAGAGGATAAACATCCATCATCCTCTATTGCTAAACATATAATTGAAACAGGTCACAAGATTGATCTAAATTCAGCTTTTGTAGTGCTGTATAAAAGTGTAAAAGGGCGTATACTAAGGTTCATTGAAGCCTTAGCCATACGAAAATTCAAACCCCCTTTATGTGTTCAAAAACAGTTTGTTCTTACCTTAAACCTACCCTGGTAATATTGACTTATTATCCAGAGTGATTAGGTTTCAAATTGTGTTCACATTATTATTATTACTCTTATCATTATCCTTATCTCCTCTTACCCCGTTTCCTGTCTAGTTGACCTTTTATTTTTATATATAAATGCTCTTAACAAGTATATGTGTGACCAGATTGTTCGAAATGTATTGCGCTAATATATCACATAGTTCTGATAATCTTCGTCTTCTAATATCATTATCGTAATTATTTTTGGTTAACCAAATATTTCTTTAACAAATTCTGGAAATCTAGCTAATTTCCTAAAGATCTATTTACATATAAGATAAATTAGTCAGTTAGCTATTTATTTAGTAATGTTGTGATGTATGCTGCTTATATCTGTCGACATAATTAGTATATGACCCTAATCAGAAGTGGAATGTCTGTCAAAAGAAGGTTGAAAAGATTGAACTTAAGAAAATAAGAAGGGAAACATAGAAATTGAGAATTGGAAGAATTATAAAGAAGTTAAAGGACAATTGATGAAAGATTTGCAAACGAATGTATGGTTTCAAGTTAATTGAGCATTGGATAAGAATCTAATGATTGATATACAAATTGTGGGGAATTGTATCTCTGATGATGCGTGACTTACTGTAAGCCACTTCTTCAAAGTGAATAAATAACCGAAATAAAATTAACATAATCTTAAATGGTAAATAGGAAACAATACAGAATAACTTCAGTACAATCAAAACCATAATAGGTCTGAATATGTTCAATCCTCAATAATTGATCTTCGACAAAATGTTCGAAATAATACATAGTAAATATAATGAAAATAACTTTGAGATTTCTACTCAAACTGGTTCTTATTTTGACGTGAATTAAACCAAACATTCATGATATACAAGTTACATAAAAAATGTAGTGGTAGTGATTTTCTAATTAGATTCAATTTCATGAATTTGTATTAAAAACAATGTAACTAAATTACATCGTTAAATCATGACATTCTACTATTTTTTTAAATTCTGGCATCTTTCAGAACTACACGTCTATTCATTCCACAGAACTGTAAATTGGCAAACAACACAATTTCAATTTTTCTTCATCAATGACGTCATATATTTTTAGAAATTCATAGAACTTTAATAATTGTGTTTGTTGCCAGACACCGATTTATATTTCAGATTGCAAATTTTGTTTGACATTCAGATGTATAAACATTAAACGTATACCATCATCATCATCATCATCATCATCAACTAAATCTTACTCATTTAAAATGATTTAATCAGTAGATTAGAAACTTAATAGCCATTAGAAATCAATGTGAAACCCCAGTTTTTCGATTAAACGACTAAATTTTCCTGATCAATAACTGTGATAGTTTAGGAAGTTTTAAGCCCAAACACTTTTATAAAGGTTTTTCGCACAACAATTTTTATGAAACTTAATGACTAGTGAAATATACTGCAAGATAAATAAATAAATTTTATTGTCGTTTTTTTGCAGAAAAGAACGTTTGCATGTTTTGTTTTTTACCAAGCAGAGTAACACAGTTGTAAACCATCTAGAAATGAATCCCATAATAAATCAACAGCTTCAAACAAACCTCATACATACTTTGAAAATTCTGCTCAGACAATAGCTCAAACTAGAGGAGAAACGGCCTTTACCAAACAACTAAAAGTTGAAGGATGTAGTAGTATCAGATGAAAATAATTTTGAAATCTTTGTAAAATCAACTGCAAATAAATGTAATTAATTTATAAGTAAACATTTGATAAGGTGACCGGTTTTTTCATTATCTAGAAAACTAAAACCAACCAAGAAACAATGCTCTGTTTTTTGTCTTAGTTTAGAATTCTTCAGTGTTATATAGTTATAACCATTTAAAAAATCAAATTAATCCTATTTTGGCAGTGCATCAAATTAGATACTCTCAGACAAAGAATTTAGGATCTGATAATACATCCTTTCGACTTCAATCGATTCACGTTATAATATGATTATCATCTGATGCAACTATAGACAACTGTATCAATCTGCACATGATCAAATCCAGTGATCGCCAATAAAGTAAGCTTATATATCCGAAGAAATATTGTTTTTTCGTTTCGCCAGACCGTACTTTCTCTTTACTTGTTTGTGCCTAACATTATTATTTATTCACTTAACTTAAAGTTGATTTCATACAAACAATTATTATAGGCCAGGACAATTTAATCTTCTACTAATAAGATAAAGATGCCTAATTATTCGACCCTAGTTAATTGAGGAATAAGCGACATACAAAACCGATTTTATTCAATCTTTTTTGCCATTTGATCACTTTATTCAAATCACGTGATAAATCTTCCGCCTAGAGCAGAAAAAGGATTAATATAAAAAATTCCTGTTTACTTAGCAAACAATGGTGACAAATAAATGTCAATAGTGAGGGTGTAATTGGTATACAAGATAGAAACATGATTTTTAATAAACTGGAAAGCTTTTATAACAAGTCAGGATTATCAAAACTTTCTGAATATTGTTACACAATGATCCTATTTTATTTTTGTTGTGGTGATATAATGGATAAGTGTAACAGTTAGGCTCTACTCATTGATGAATTAGCTATCTATAAAATCAATTTTATTCAGTTGTTTTTTATCACCTAATCGTATTGTTTTCCTGGTAATATTTTGTACATAGCTAAGCAATCTTTAAGTTGAAAAACCATTTTTCTGGTTTATGATATTGTTTTTGACTCAAAACATTCAGGGGGTTTAAGTCAATAAATTGGTCTTGTGAACAATCATTACATAAAATCTGCCGTTCTCTTCTCTTCGATCTTTCTAACCTTGTGCCCCCAGGTATTCCGATTTTGATTGGTGATACTACTGTAGTGAAGGAGAACACAGGTAGGGACAACCGAATTTAGATGGTGGTTAGAGGTAATCGACAGGAAACCCTGGACCCGGGTTTCGTGCTACTTGGCACTCGTCAGCAAGGTGTACCTGTAATCTTGAGGGAACTGGTGCTCCCTGGCCGATTCGATCTCGTGTCACCCAGCTTCACAGTCAGAGACATTACCACCGAGTGTCGAGTCACCTTGGCTAGTGACCACATTGCAAATTGGTCGACAGCATTCGACCTACACTAATAAGGACTAGACACTCATGACATTGATCGCCACCCAGTGATTAATCAATTGTGACAATCGAGCGTATTATACATAGAAACTCCCAAGTTAGTTGGTAAAATAGAAAAACCATATAGTAAACCGTTAATTTGCAAAATATCAATCCATCATATCGAACCGGCCTGTTCCTGTTGCAATCATTAATCCATTGTCTCATATTTCATTGTTCATGCGTTTTCTTACAAATTGCATTGTGTTCCCGCTCTTTCTTTTTTTATCTTTCCCTCATCTTCTGCTACCAGATATTACGTTTTAACTCGCGCTATATACTACTTATGTCAATATAAGTAGCACGCACCACACTACTTACATATGTTGATATCAGTAGCGTACACTACAGCGTATTAAGTAGCAAAAGTGTATTTTAGCACCAGACCAAGTCGTTTAATGAACTTTCAAATTGATTGAAAATTCATTACATAGAAGAAAGGAAATACTACTTTAGATCTAGTTCGTTTTCTAATTTGTGTGCTGCTCAAATGAATGGTTCCTATTCTTCTGAATAACTGAATACTTTTGATCTGTTTAAATATTAATTGTTATGTATACTACTTATATAAGTAGTGTGTAGCACCAATCAGAATTGTAATGCATGCCAACAGAAAATTAAGAAGATTCAAATAAAGAGAACATAAAAGTAAATAGAGAGTAATTTTAATTATCAATATAGGGTTGTGCAGATTATTAAATTTTTGATTCACATCATGAACCGATTGATGTTAAACCACCATTGAAAACCTGAAAGCACTGGACGGACATTTCGTCCTATTGTGACACTTCTCAGCAGTGCACATCCACAATCCCGATCGCGAGATTGGAACCCAGGGCCTTCAGTCTCTCTTGCGAACGCTTAATCTCTAATTTGAATAACGACATAATTGAAAAAAATCATGAATTGTGCAAAAGAATAATTGATGGAAGATGTGAAAATTATATATTTAATAATATGGTTTTCATATTTTGTCATCCCACTACGTAATTTTACATTGTAGGTTTAGTAATTTCAATAGTTGAGGAGGAGTCCCACGCTAATACGAAACAGCCATCCAGTTCTTCCAAGTTTCCCATGATGGTTTAGCTTCAATTGACTCATGATCTCAACTATAATATGAATTTCAACTTAGATTACCTCAACACATTTAATACATATTCTTATTTTATAATTAATTTTTTATGAAAATTTACTTATCTTTCTTGACAATGTACCTTGTTTTTTTTTCTGGTTAATCAGTTTGTCTCATTTATATAAAGTTTTATTCAAGGAATTAACAATAATAACCGACAAAATTAAACCAGTTATAATGATTATATTTATTTTAACCAATAGAAGCCTAATAGTGATTTTCTATGGTAATGATCTGAATATATTTTAAGAAAAATAAAATTGATCAAATGAACAAGCTAATTAAAACAAAAACACCTTCCAGTAAATAATAGTTGCATTCTAATCAGTATAGTAATAATTCTTTTTTTTCAAACAAAAAAAGCGTCTCATTTAAACAGTTAATCAATAAACTGGTGATTTATTTCAACATTTTTTTTACATGTAATAATTGTAATGAATAATTTTGAATTATAAAATAACAACAACCATAGTAACAGCTGATCATTATTCTACTCATAAATGAATTGATGATTTGTTTTGAACAATTCAATGAAAATGTTTAAAAGAATATTGAAACTTGACAAGTCATATGTAAGTGATGTTTTTTTTTGGTTTTATTTTATTGATATATAATCATTGTATAGAAATCAATTAGAATAGATTTCATAATATGCTTTTTCTTTCATTTCAAATCATTAAATTATTTATTGAATAAGTGATCTGGCAGTGAACAATGATATTTGATATTGATAGTAACTTCTTTGATATCTAACGTATGTACCGGTTATATCCGGTTATTTTGATGAGTAATCAGTTCGAATTATTTTCATACATTTAAACAATGTAAACAAAAGATAAGTGAGTAACTGATCCGTTTGTTACATTTCTTTTTATTACATTGAAATATTTAAGAAGATAAAACGTAGAATACACAAATAGTAATAGATACTGGAATAGAGGTTAAACATGAATAATATAATTGATAAAGAAATTATTAGTGTCATAAAATGAGAAAGTATAGAATATCAATAAGATCAAATCCCATGCATAGGTTTATGATAAATGTTTCTGGGACATTGCAATAGATTTTAGACCACAATATTCGAAATTTTTAACCATACATAAATAATTTTAATCTGGAAAATGAATATATATATATAAAGTCAATAAGGAATATTTTTGGTGAACTGGGTGAACTTACACAATAACACTGTTGGATGCCGGCTCAGTGGCCTAGGGGTTAAGCGTTTGAGCCCCAGAACGAAGGTCTTGGATTCGAATCCCGCATGCAGTGTCGTGGATGCTCACCACCGAGAAGACCCGTACAATGACGAAATGGTCGACCAGTGTTCCCAGATTTTCAGCGATGGTCTAACATTGATCGGTTCATGATTTCAATCAGAACATTTTTCTAATATTGGTTCTCTGTTTTTATAATTTTCTGACTGCTGTTGTAGTTATTCTACTATGTTAGTTTTTCTGATACGATGCAGTGTAAGATCTATGATTTCATTTCTATTCTTATTACTAGATGGACACTCAATATTTGATATTGCACTGGCGTGATATCCAACAATATTTTAAACAGCATTTTTGAATTTAAACTAAATAAGTTCTACATACAAATTTAACTTTCATTTCCATTATTTTCAGAAAAACAACTTAATTAGTTAAGTAATTTATGAGAGTTTTGACCCAAGGATCGTTTTTATTCACGTGGTATAAGCTTACCAATTTTTTATTTCCTGTACTTTTTTTGAATACAGTGAACTACGTAAACTAGTATCTTCTGAGTTATATAATTACTTAAAAGCGACGTCTTAGTGAGTACTGTATTGTGTTACAAATGGACTGATGTAAAACACCAGAATAGTACATAATTGGTTTAAACCCTGTTACGTCCCAACGAAAATAATCAATGTTAACTGTTGCTATCTGTTTATGGACTAATACTATACATATATTTTAGTGTATAATTGTTAAGTATCTAAACTATTCATATTCGTGTTCCTCTTACTATAAGCTTTATTTTAACTTATAGACTGTTATTATACGATTTATCATTCTTAAGTTATGCCCAGTTTATCAATTACAATCTCCCACATTCACAGTCACTTTTGGCTAAAACTTGTAAAAATGTTATTTTTTATTTCGTGGCACGATGTGGTTTGTTTGGTTTGTATATAAACACATTATATTTGAAATACATGATTCATATCGCAGAAACTGAGATTGGTGTTCTGGACTTAACGAGTAGAACTAAGCAGGAAGCGGGACCGGTAAAGACTCTCGACTGCTCTTACGGGTTTTATGCGCCATTGGTCCGGTCGATAAATCACTGTTCTCTGATTGGTGGTATCATTACGTTATACATTAATAGGGCACAAGGCCACAAGTTATAACAAACCCCTTTTGGGTTATCCATTCACACTGACGAACCATTTGTCTATCCCTCGTTCTTTTCCAGTATTAGATTCGCTGAAGTTAACGCATAATACAGACTAACATTCATATATTTGTGTTGTTGAATTCAACAATCCGTATTTCACTCGGTGAAAAGATATACTAGACCAAATATTAGCTATATAAGTGGATTAGAAATGAATTCTTAACTAATAGTTGCTAGTAACTTAGTCCGTACTGTTTTCACAAATAGGTTTTTTATGATAAAGTAAAACAAAATGCATATAGAATAGAATAAAATGAATGAATCTGTAATAAAAGTAGTCAACTATAATTTCCTGAGATGATTAAACCAACAGAAAGTTACGAAATTAAGTTCAGTATTTATCCATTTTAGGGTAAATGTTTCCCATCTTAAAACACTTAGCCTTGCGGCCTATAATGAATTAAAGCAACTAACCCATGAATTTTAACTCAGACAGTGCATATTCTGTAACAGTCTATCCGTTTCATTTAGGGCTTTGCATATCTCTCTCATTGAAAATTTTCATTCGGTGATATACACATTATCTGTGAAGAAGACATGGACCCTAATGAAATTTTGAATAGATTTAATAATTTTCACCCGTCAATTCAATATACCTTAGAAGCAGAGGCAAACAATGAATTTTATTTTCTTGATGTCCGATTGAAAAGAATGCTGGATGGTTCTTTTACAGAGAGCTATATATAGAAAACGTACCTGGAATGGAGAATACACGAATTTCTATAGTTGGGTCTCACTGAGTAGAAAGAGGAACTTAATTCACTCTTTATCCTCTAGGATCAATTGAATCTGTACCAATGACATAATTGGTGAAGAACTATTTCAACTTCGACAGACCCTCATCAGAAATGGTTATCCACCTAGATTCGTCGATAGCAACTTAGCACCCAGACTTCATCATGAAAAAGTATCAATAGTAGAGAAGAAAACCTTGTTTATGAATACGGAATGTAAAGGAGACACAGCTGCTGAAATCTTGAGTAAACGGATTTCAAAATCGTTGAATAAAACGTTCTACGCATCCAAGCTCCGAATTGTTTTCTCTCATTGACCAACCATTCTAGGATGTGTTAAGGGTAAACTTCTGCTTTGGGTCACATCGATCTGTATCTATAAATTTACTTGCTCATTTGGGGCACATTACACAGGCCACACAAAGCGATCACTGTCCAAACGTATACCAGAACACTATCCGGCATGGCTTTTAAAAGGAGAATGTAAAACAATTACAAGTTCTATATAGGAGCATTTGATTTACTGTGGACACATTGCTCCAAAAGATTCTTTTTTTAAAGTAATCTACAGAGTCAAAGGAAATGGATCAATGGGGTGTTGAATCAATATTTTATGCACTGCTGAGGCATTGGCAATCCACGAAGTCAAGCCTGAACTTTGCGTGCAGAAATGATTCGTTCAACCGTTCATCCTTCCTTGGCCTTAATTCCCTTAATGATTATATTTTGGGTTGTTTTTTGTTATTTTATTTGATTATTAGTGAATTCTTTTTAATTTTTAAATTATTGTTTTACAATTTTAAACTTTAATAATTTATTCTTATTACCTTATACAAGTTTTCTTGGTTACTATTCAGTTTATTATTATGACATTTGTGTTTGTCGTTTTCCTGCATATCTGTCAATTGGACTATTATCTGACCCATAAACTATTTTCTTTTTTACCCCTTGGTTAGTACGTAACTACATTTGTTATTTAGTCTCAAATCCATTTTTGTAATGCAATCTTTTCTATCCTCCTATAGATATATATTTTCCATATAACTATATATACGAATGTACAGCTTAAGTAAACGATTTCGTCGAAAAGAAAATTTCCTTCGCTGAATTCTCTTTTTCTTATTCAATGACATAAAATATAAATAAAATAATTCCAGTCAACTTTTTAATTTGTGATTGATTTCATGTGGGGAAAAAGGTATTGTTTGTTTTTTCTTCGGAGATGGCTATAAATATTATAAGTGAATGATTGTCTTATCAACTGATCATATGCTATGAGACATCTTAAGTTTTTAAGCTTAAATAAAAATAAAAGGTATTCAACTAAGATATTGTACTAAAAAGTTTCAACGCCTTAGTTTCTGATACATTGACAATGAATAGACTAAAAACATACAAAATTAGGATTAACGATTTGTATTGATGTTTATAAATTATTATTTAAGTAATTATCTTTCTAAAATCAGATAATATAATTGTTTTGGAAAGTGATTTTTACCTTGAATTTCGGTCCCTTCATACAAGCTATAATCCATGTTGATAACTAAACATATAGTTGAGAATTTAAGAGTGAGTAAAAATATAATATATCTGTTTTGTTTATTACAACTGTTAATTTTTTGAACAATATTAAGTGCTGTATTAGTCAGAGCCGTTGAGTACCCTGTTATCTTTTATATCTTAAAAGAATGTACACGATTATTTTCTTAAATTGGCGTAAATGAAGTAATTGGTTGCTATGACAAAAAGTGTGTATCATAAAAATAGTTAAAATCATCAAATGCATTTTAATCACTATGTAATAAAAGTGTGAAACAATTGGAATACATGAAGCTCTTTTATTACAGTAATTTATTTATTCTTAGAAATGGAGGAAAGTTCTAATGCAACTGATTGATTAAATGATTTAAGTTATACCCTAAGAATACGTTATACAATTCAGATATTTCTCTTTGCATAACAGTTATAATATAACAGTAAGATTGTTTATTTTTATAAATATAGTTGTAAATGCGATTCTAAATAACATTAAGTTAATGTTGCCTTTTTGTTCTTTAATTATATCCTAAGAAAAATCTATGACTAAATACTAAGCAATGATAGAAGATTTAATGAAAAATTAACACAGTAGTTCTTATATTTTGAGTCTTTTTTCATCACGGATTAATGTCAACGAAAGGACCATATAAAATCAAAAGGTATTGAACATCACTTCTTTCCGGTTTAAGATACCCCCTATCCTTGTGACATTTTCAAACCGAAGACCTTTAGATCTCAAGGTAACAATGATACCACGTATGTATTACCGCATGAAACTGAATGTTAGTATTCATCAAGACTGTAAAATGTGTTTCCACCTTGAAAGAAACGAAAAAAAATGAAATTTTATTAGTTTTCTCTCATTGGAC